TTATGTTTCCCCTCTCTCTAGATTGCTTATACTTTTACTAAACACGTTTGTCTTTTCCTTTTCATGTTCGGGCTAAACAAACTCTCAATGTTTTTGTTGTAGTATTATGAGTTTGAGAGGACAAGTTAGCATAATATAATACGATGTTTTATTTAGCCCATTTAGTTTAGTCATTTTTCTTGTATAGGTATGTTTATTCTTTATTATGTATATTTTTATTTCCTTTCATTTGTAAATATTATTTTCTTTGGTCAATAAAACTCTAGCCGCATTTGAGTGATAGTTTTCAAAAAGGACATCAAAAACATTTTCAATAATAACAAAAATGAAAAACATTTTCAATAATAACAAAAATGAATTAAATTAAAGTAACTAATAATCTTAAAAGGCTAGTTTGAATTTTTAAACCAGAAAAAAAAACACCAAATCTACTTCCATCGTATAATTTTTATTTCATTAGTTATAAGTTAGTATAACAGTTGTGGTATGAACTTAATTCTATATGTGATAGATGCATGTTTATTAAACGTGTAATAAACAATTTTGGTTTGAACTTTAATTCTACCCGTCAAAGATTGTTGTATTTTGTGTTCAAACTTTATAATTTTTTAATAAGCAAGAAAAAGTATTATATATATATATATATATATATATATATATATATATATATATATATATATATATATATATATATATATATATTGTAAAAATAAAAAATTAGTATAAACTATGATATTGGGGTATGTTTGCTATATGATGAAACATATATAATAATTCCTAAATTATCCAAGTAACCAAATTAGTAATCAGTTTTCATTACTATGAGCTGGAGGATAACAGCTACTTTGACTTTGACTTGACTATTGAATGTAAATAATTATATATAGAGGCCTTATCATTGATGAAATAATATTTATTCTGTTTTATTTCGATGAATCACTTGTGTTATTGTATAGACAAAACTTGCAGAATTGGTCCTTGTGGTATTCAAAAAAATGTGGATAAGGTCCAAAAAGTTTTCAACTTGCATGAAAGGTCCAAAATCAAGATTTTTTCGTGATTTTGGTCCCTCATACACTTGAAAGGTCAATTTTACCCTTTTTATTTCTTTTTTGTATTTTGTTTATTTATCTTAGTATTTAAAAAATTAAAAAATAGAAAAATAAATCTCACCCCACCCTAACCCTCTCCACCGGTACCGTCTCTCTCTCTCTCTCATCGTGTAATTCATAGAGAACTTCTGATTCTCTCTATATCTTCAAAACTCATCTCCTCAAGAACACACAATCACAAAATTATATATACACATAAAGAAAATTAAACACACAGTGAAAAAAACCAATCGTTCCAAACAAATCGTCATTCCCATCTCTCATCTCTATGTTCCTCGGTCCCTCTTCCACAATCCCCTTTGCTTCAGGAAATTGAAGGCATTAAATCCAAGCATTTCAGGAAATCGAAGTTTTTAAAGCATATGAAATTAAAACCCGGTCCCCTTTGTTTTGTTTCTTGGTTTGATTTCTGAAAAAGAAAAAAACCTTACCGGAGAAATCGAGAAGAATATATTAGAGAGGGGGATAAAGACAGTAGTGGTGAACATGATATTTAAAAATAGAAGATGCGATGGAGATGAACCAATGATGAACTGATGAAATCCGAATTTATAGATGTTGAAATCTCGATTTACTGGAAAAGCCCCACCTTCAAGAACCAAACTTTTATTCTTCTTCAGAGAGAAAACACAAACACCCTACCTTTGAATCTAGGGCTTCACTGGTTCGTTGGATGTCGAAAATGCTTGGAGTCGTGGATTGAATCGATCATTACAAAATATTGTCCAGATAAGAGATGAGGACAGATCGGAGAGGGTATGATCCAACTCCAGATTCCAAGGAGTTGTGGCATTCAAGGGGAAATCAAATGAGTCCAAACCATATTTCTTGAAAAAGGGATTGGTTTGGGATGGAAAGCTCGAGGATGAGCGAAGGTCTCATTTTCAGACGGTCGTGTTGGATTGCCAACCAGACGTGGCGGCGACGATGGGTGAAGATGGTGTCATGACCATGGTTTTAAAGGATTGTGGTGGTGTCATTGGGTTGTGGGATGAGTATACGAAGGGGGAGGAAGATTTTGAGTCGTGATGGATGCCATCAGAAAAAGAGAGAGAGAGAGAGAGGTGGAATGATGGGGGTGAGCTAACATAATTCTTTTTTTTCATTAATATTTTACAAATTAAAAAATATAAAAAAAAATACAAAAGGAAATTAAAAGGGCATAGCAGTCAATTCAAGTGCTCCATGGATCAAAACTACAAAAATTTCTTAATTTTAGGACCAAAATCACGGAAAAATCTTGATTTTGGACCTTCTATGCAAGTCAGAAACTTTTTGGACCTTATCCACATTTTTTCGAATACCACAAGGACCAATTTTGCAGTTTTGTCTATTGTATACTTCATTTTTAGGCTGGACGGAGTGAAGCGGGAATGGTGTGTGGGAGCCATTCCCGCTCGGAGGAACAACGCACCGGCGGTGCAGGATAGGAAGCACGGGAAGGAGATGGGGGGAGGGGTTGCCGCACTCTCTCTCTCTTCTAGTGATTAGCTGGATTTTTTTTTTGAGTTTGCAAGTTCATTGAGGAAGAAGGAAGAAGTTTCTGGAAATGACATATTTGGCGCCTATGTTTTGGTCTTATGGCAGAATACATCCCAGCTCTGAATTCTCTTCACAAAAATAGTTTTTGAAAACTACAAAAATAGACACTATACTTTTATATTCCAATTATCATTAAATCAATTAATTTTATTTAAAAAAAATCAAAAGAAAGTGAGGAGTTTTCCGCACACTCCTTGGCTTTTGGTAAGGAAAAGAAAAGTGAGGGAAAGGGTATTGTGACCCACAAAAAATGAGGGGAGTTTCCCACCTATACCCTCCGGTCTTATAAACAACTTTTTATACAGAATACTATTAATTATTTTTTTTATCAAAACCATGATGCGATGCATATAAAAACTTGATTATGAGTTGATCAAATTTTATATTTTTAGTATTTATTGAAAGGTATTTCAGGCATTATATATATATATATATAAACAATGATGTTTTTCTATATTCAAAGTAAATTATATGTTATATTGGATTACTACAAAAAGAGAAAAGTTATATTCATTATGTTGAGTTATAGCTTCTAATCTTTATTTTGACCTCATTACCGCTTCCGAGATTAACAATGAGGTCCCGCTCTCAAAAAAAGTGATCGTCTGTTAAGCACGAGCCGCTCCTTACAGGTCTAGGGGAGTGCTTCATAATTTTTTTCCCCGTAAGAATATGTGCTACTCAATCCAACGTCTGTGGTGCATGTGTAGACCAAAAAGTCTTTTCAAATGATGATGTCTTAGGGATTGTGGGCCTTAGGTCAATTTGTCTTTATAAATAGATCTACTTGTTGTTGGAGGTATATTATTCTTTGTTTCAAGTATGAGCTCATTTTAGAGGATTTTGGTCCATTTTATTTGGATGCTTTAGGAGTTGAAGAACTCCAGAGCTTGTGGATGACTTCTTATGGCCCCGGTCAACCCGTCTTTATAAATAGATCTACTTGCATCTCCATAATTTTATATAGAAAGCTTGTATGACCACTATGTATTTTCTTCAAATCTAATAAACATCTCTTTCTAGTTCGTCCATAGATTAGCTAGATTGCTTTGATCGAGTTAACCACATTAAAACCTTGTGTTGTTTTTCTTCACGTCTTTAATTGATCTATGTTGTGTTTATTGATTCTTTATCCTAACACTTTCTTTTATTAATCTATGTAATTAGTCAAATATAACACATCACTTTTTTAATATTAAATGACAAATTGGAAAATATTTTTGATAATATTATCGCATTTTCTTTAAATTTGTTTGTGTTTAGAAACACTAATGCTAGAAAAAAAAAAATTAGAATGTGTAGATGCGTAATCCAATGTTGACGCCTTCATCTTTTTTTTTTTTTTTTTTTTTTTTTTTTTTTTTTTTTTTTTTTTTTTTTTTTTTTTTTTGCTAACACCTGGCTAGCTTATGTTTTTTAATATATATGGTAGACGTTCCAAAAAAAATGACAAATTTCAAAAAAACCCTTACATTTTCAGATTTTACTTGAAGATTATAATTTTTTTTCTAATGAAGATTATAATTTTTTTTACATAGAAACCTAAGCACTTGAATCATTTTCATTTTAGCTATTATTACCTACTAGAATTGGTTAACATGTTAAACATGTTAATAATAATTTCCGACCAATATTTATATAATATTTGGGTTGTTTTGGATTTTTTTGGGGTAGGATTGTTTTAGACATTTATAACTTGCTAACATATTTAAGTAACTAACTAATGGCTTAAATGAAAAAGAAAAAAATTGTGGTTTTTCAAGTAAAAGACCAAACATATATGTTATATTTTGGCAAAACTAGTTGAAAGCCGAAAGTCGGAAGTTATAATTTTTATTTGCGTAGAAATATTAGACAAAAATAGTTATAAGCTTTTGAAGGGTGTAAAATAACGTAAAAGCTAAAAGCTAAAAGCTCCTAAAAACTACTTGAATTAGTTTTTGGATTATGAGACTTTTGTTTTGAATAAAAGCTTTAAGTTCCTACTCCCAAACAAAGCTTTTTCTTAATTCGAGATTTTTCTTTAAAGCCAAAAGCTAAAAGCTTCTAAAAGTTCTCTAAAACACGCGCTGCCCAACATACCATAAAAGCTTTTCTGAAAAAAAAAATTAGAAAAATGTAATGGTTTTTTCAAGTAAATGACCATGTAAGGATTTTTCTGAAATTTGCCCTATATTAAATTACTACTTGAATACTAAACATATATTGTACTACATCTCCTTTTCCTACTTACATAATGTACTTATTATTCTTTTGATGTAATCAATTTCTAAAAACATGCATATTTTATCTCACTTTTAAAAATGAAAAAAGAAGAAATGCATGTGATTCTAATTTTCTTTTTCACTCTTTCATTCAACATCAGTTTGATTTACTTTCCTTATTGTATATTACACGTACCAAAAAGAATAATGAGAAAATACAAACAAGAGATTTTCCTTTCCATATGTCATGAAATAATTGCTGAATTGGATGCAATGATCTCAAGTATCTCTTCATGTAATCTGCTATTCGACACAAGAATGCCACCTGGCGGAAATAGCGCTTTCCTCTCAACTTCATCTCCAGCAAGATCAAGTTCATCTCCATTCCAATCTGTAACCTGTAACATGTTAATTCAATCAATAACAAAATCTACTCAATTTGTAAAAGGAATTAACTTCATTACCTTTCCTCCTGCTTCTTGCACACATATCACTCCAACAGCATGATCCCAAACCTTATTTTTCCCATACAAAGAAGCCAACTTTAGTAAATGAGGACACATTAAGTCAAAAAAGAAACACTCATAAATAGCTTATTGGATTAAGTCCATTAAAAAAACAGCTTCCTTAGTGTCATTAAGTCATACCTTGATCACTCTTTCAGCCCTTGCACGTTGAATAAATACAGATGCCCTCCCAGAAGCTACCATCAGATACTTGCATAAACTGAATACAAAGTCCCAAAAAATATATAAACACCATTTTCAAGCATTAATACTGTTACTGTTACTGATACTGATACTAATACTGATACTGATACTGATACTGTAAAAGAAGTAAATGGACCTTCCACAACATGTAGGCAAGAGAAGAACTTCATTATCTCCAACATTGTCCACATTGATTGATGAACCAAATGAAGATGACAATGGCAATGAATCCCATGTTTGGCTTTCTGAAATGCAAAAGCGTCCTTTATGAACTAAATTATAGCCATCAACTAAGCATCTGTACCAGTTAAGAGCTACCCCAGATAGTTTCTTTGACCATGTTCCACAGCCAATATGTGCAACCATAATCATTCCTGACCCAAGGGTATATTTGTCATTGTCTGATTTATTGTCCTTCCAGTTAGGGCATCCCATAACTCCTAAAACAATCTGTCCTTCAACCACAAGTGCTAAACCTACCTGTAATGTTATGATCAAATCAATGCATGTATGATTCTATTTCTTGTATTTATTTATTAAGAAAACTTAAACTTACCACATATAAGGCCTCATTACCCTTGAGAAATCCACGTGTGCCATCTATAGGATCCAGAATCTGTATAAAACACATTCATATGATCAAGTGAATGAATGTTTTAGCTATAATATGTGATAAGAAACTGCATAACAATTAACACACCCAATATGTAGCTGGATTAGGTCCAAATGTTCCTTTTCTATCAATAGCTTCAAGTACATCAGCTTCAGTTAATTCTTTATCTTTGGAGCTTGATTTATCAATAACCACATTTACAACAGAGTCTACAAGATTATTTGAACGTAAGAATGCTGAATCCTCTTCAGCCACCAATGGAATGGAAGGAAATAGCTTCCCGAGCTCTGCCATGATTATGAAATATAAATCCATAATAAAAAGTAAGGTTTCTAGGGCTATTTTGAGTATTTTCTATGATGAAGATGAAAAGGAAGTGAGAAAAGGAATTTAAGAATCAAGATTTTATACCCAGGCTAATTAGAGCTTGAACTCCAAAATCTGCAATGGTGACAGGTGTCTGGTCATTTTTTTCAAGAATCCTTCCATCACTTGTGAATAAAGATCGCTTCACCTGAATCAGACAGAATATGATGTCTAAAGCCATTGAAATATAATTCCCAATTTCCCATTTTCAATAGCTTAATAGAAAATTCCCAATCATGTAGACATCATATACTTGGATCACAATCACTTAAATATCATAAAATTGCAATATTGAAGATTCCTGACATGTAAAATGCAAGCCTTTTGCAGGTATCATATGAGAAAACAAGCTACTAAACAACTTTTGAGTTCTATTGAGGAATGTGAATTGTTTACATCTAAACAATTTTGATGAATAATATTTATCCTACACAGTCAAGATGATCATATCAATCATGATGAAAATTCAAGAAGATACAACATAACACAGTTTTATGTTGTATACGTTCAAAAAGAAAGATACTTTCTTTCTCAAATCAAAGGTCACATTTCACATCAACAATTTTCATAGATTGTTATTTGTTACTAACTACAAATTAAAATATGTTGTTCAAAAAGTAATAACAAAACTATAGCAATTTGAAGTTGTAAAGTACTAGGTGCAACATGTCTACATGTAACACTTTAGATTGAGCTGAAATGAAGCAAAGGGTAGAAATGGTATTAATGATGAAACTTACGTCAACACAGAGACGGCAAGCCCGCTCGACCGCATCCACAGCAGCACTTAGCTCTCTGTTATACTTGGCATTCTGAGCCGGGGAAGGAAGACTCGATCTGCACAAAGCAAAATAAGTAAAGGTTCCATCAATTGGAACCCTAAATTTTGGGGTAGAAACAGAGTGGCGTTAATTACGAGAGTGATAAGAATCGAGTGGAGGATACCTCACGCTGAATCGCCGGAGACACAATGACGATGAAGTTGAGTGTACAGTGAATCGAGTGTGAGGTTGTAGTAATTTTGTAATGGGGTTTTGCAGCCTTGAGCAATGAAGGAGATCCATGGCGGGAATGAAAACTAAAATTTCTAACTGCGGCGGTGGTTGGTCGTTGATCCGAGAATTGTGGAGTACCTCCGTCCATTAAATATATATACCGAAATAATTTTGTTTTTTCAAGTTCATAAAATCCCTAACTTTTTAACACTTAATTGAAAAAGGTTATAACATTTTTTTTAATTATTGTTATCGCTATAAAAAGGTTATAACATTTTTTTTAATTATTGTTATCGCTATAATTCTATCGCTGTAGCCTATTTAATGAGTTTATGGTTAACTATATTTTTTTTTTCTTTTTTTGCAAAATCAGTTCTAAAATAGGTTTAAAGTTCAAATTTGATCCCTATAGTTTGTAAAAAGTGGTTTTTTAACTTTATTTTTCGTTTTTTAAATACATTATTTATTCCCGTTATATATATATATATATATATATATATATATATATATATATATATATATATATATATGCTTTTTTATTTACTTTAATATATTCTTAGATTTTACATTTTTTGAATTTTTTTCATATTTTTTTTCGTATTATATTTTGATGTTTTCGTATTTTAATTTTTTTTTCTTTTTTTTACGTATTATTTGCTTTCATTTTTTCATATGTTTAACTTTTTCTAGACTTTTTTTTAAAATGTAAAATGTATTAATATGGTATATTACAATTTTGATAATTTATAGTTTTTGTAATTTTTTATTTTTATTCAAGTAAATAAAAAAATTATATTTAAATTTATAATTTCGGTCCAACTTATTTTCTTTTTATTTTTTGGGTAAATGTAACTGAAGCCCAACCAACTTTGGGGTTTTGTTTTAAAATGTCTCTTACATATTTTTTTGGTAGTATAGGTCCTTAAACTTAGATTGACTTATTAAAAAAGGTATTGAATTTCATTTTTCCCGGTTTCATCGGTTAAAGTTGGATTAAGTGGCATTTTTACTTTTTGAGTAATAAAAAAGGGAATTCAAACTCACCTCTCTCTCTCTCTCTCTCTCTCTCTCTCCATAAATATTACATATACTCTTTCTTAATCATCAGCTTAAAAACCCTATCTACAAAATCTATGATCAAATTTTTTATTCAAGTGATCTATCGACAATTAAGTGTGGGTATTCGAAGTGGGCGTCTCCAATTCATACGTAAAGATGAAACTTTGAAGCAATCATTACCGATTTTGAATCAGAATCTATTGTCAATTTGGTGTGGGTATTCGAAGTGTGTAACGCCCGTAGATCCGGGCTAGTCAAATTAGAGATAATAGGGGTCGAGAACGACTTTTCGACAAAAGATTATTTAGAATAAATAATCTTAAACAAGTTGTAGAATATATCTCAAGGGTTCCGTACATATAAAGAACGCATAAATCCGAGTTATAACGAAGAAGTTATGACCCGTCGAAGTTTCGCGACGGAACCGGCACGACACCGGGAAGCGTAAATAGTGAATTTGCGATAGAAGACTTTTTGACCTTAGTAATCTAAACGAAAGTCGTAGAATATGTTAAACCGAGAACATCCATAAAAAGAACGCCCAAATCTGACTTCGTATGAGGAAGTTATGATTTTTCTAAGATTCGGCTTAGCAGTGCACGGCCCGAAACTCGAATTTTAGTTCGAGCGGTTTTTGGCTTACGTGAGTGACCCTCCAGCCTCCTATAAATAAGAAGTGAAGCCCTCTTCATTCCTCACACCTCCCATCACTTCCCTCTCTCTCTAAAACTTCTCTCTAGCCCCGAAACTCCCCGAAAAGCCTAGGGAACCTCCCTAGCACGAGACGGAAGCCCCGGAGCACCCGACGGCTCCGAGAAGAAGAGCCTTTCGGCTCGGGAACGCTGCTCCAGTGAAGCCCGATTTTGAGAAAAACCCGTTGTAAGTGAGCTACGCCTACCCTATCTTTAGTATAACTTATGTTTCAATATACTAACATTATTAGGACCTTAAAATAATTATTTGGGCTATTATTATGAGTTATATAAGAGTGTTGCTTAACGCTTATATAATAGTAATAATGGCTAGACTATTAATTAGTCTCGGTAAATATTAGACTAAACCCTAGTGGTAATGGTACTAGGTTTTGTCGAAGGAAATTGTTTTAAGAGTAACGCAGTGCTGTCCGAGTGCCGAGTCACCACCATATCAGGTGAGTGCATAGTCCCTTTCATCTTACACATAGATATGAAGTATTTAATATAAATTACGTGCTATGTGTGAATATTATCTGTATACTTGCTATCTATGCTGGATGAACAATTTTATACATGTTTTAAATGATTTAAACTGTATATGTCTTTTATATCTACATAATATGTTGGGTAAAACATGGGTAGATGAAATATGATTCAGATGATGAGTTGAGAGGTGATATAGACCATGAGGTGAGGGTGAGAGGTGGACGATGTGAGAAGCCTTGTACCCAAATGTTGGCCCCGTCATCTAGCAGAGTATAGATGACAACCACGGACCATTTTAGACAGTCCAGTGGAACACTAGCAGGCTCGCAACCTGTAGGTGTTGTGAACGATGTGTTCACCGGTGTACTCTAAAAAAACCCAATGACATGTATTGCGAGTGGATTTCTCGGAAACGATATTGTTGATAAACGAAATAGCCCTGGCAGTTATGGATTTAGTGCCTGCTGAGTAAACCCTGGCAACTATGGATTTAGTGCCTGTTGAGCAAACCCTGGCAACTATGGATTTAGTGTCCGTTGAGTAAACCCTGGAAACGATGGATTTCGTGCCTATTCCTTAGGATGATCCTTAGGAATAAATGAACGAGGAATAGTTGATTCTTAGGGTAGAATAAAGAAGATAATGGGGATGGGTAATTGAGTTGATTGTTTAATTGTTTAAACATAATAATTATATTATTGTGGGTTGAAAACCCTATGTACTCACCAGGTTTCCCAACCTGACCCACTCAAGCTTATTTGTATCACAGGTGTCGATATGAAGTTACATTGCACTGAGAGATTTAAAAGAGATGTAGATCACTAGTGTAAATAAATGTAAGTTCTGTTTATGCTTATCTTCCTGTATTGACGATGACATCCCAAGGTTTTAAAATGAATAAAAATACATCTCTTCGGAAATGCTTTGATAATGTATTTATCATGTTTTTCTGGGAACGAATTCCGCAACATTTTTATTAAAAGAGGTACTCTGATTTTTATAAAGCATAAACAAAATCGGTCTTTTCTGGCCGTGAAAATGGGGATGTCACAAAGTGGGCGTCTCCAATTCATACATAAAGCTGAAACTTTGAAGCGGTCATTACCGATTTTGAACATCCGATTCTCAGAGTTTTTGGTATGCTAATTCGACAAGGTTTAATGGATCGATGGTGATGAATTCTTGAAGTGAAAAGGTTCGTAGAATCATGAGAAGTAGAAATCGTTGGTTCATCCATTTGATGTTGAAGTTCCTCAGATAAGAGAAGAAGTTGTTATTAATAATGGGGATCCACAAGACGATACAGTGATAACGAAGGAAAGTACATCGACTGATGCATCAGGTTCCATCGAAGAAGAAATTGGAGTCATCGGAATGGTTGGAATCTCTGGAATGGAAGGACTCGCTGATCTCGCTTGGGAGTCAATACCCATTTCATTGATTCAATGTAAGAGGTTAAGAGCCGAATTTTAGTTTTATTTCTTTTTATTTAGTGAAAAATCATCGTCATCAAGGAAACCTAAAATACGATGTTGATGTAGGTGACACATGGGATTTCAAATGTAGAGGTGGGATAAGCAGCCGGTATTCAACGGTGAAGGGGGCCATTTAAACCGGTCAGCACCCACTTTGTGACCCTAGAAAGCAAAAAATTAAGTTTAGGGATCATTTAAACCAAAACCAATAAGTTGGTTGAGCTACAGTGACATTTACCCTTTATTTTTTTGTTCTTTAGTTCTATTATATTGATGTTACGAAAAAATGAAAATTAAAAAAAAAAACAAACAAGTTATTTCTTGAAAATTAATGTTTCAATGTGATATAACTAGCAAATTAATTCATATTTTGATATGTGATATCAATAGTTTAAATTCAAGATAATATTTTTCAATTTAATAATAGACTAAAAGAAAGATCAAAAGAAATAATAATAGTCCGTCTCTATAAAAAAATTTGTTATAATATTTTAAATTGAAGTCAAGTTTGTTAAAAGAGTTCAGCAACTACTATAAAAATCTCAAGTTTTACATGCGTAGTTGGAAAAAATCCTAATATTTTTTTGTTGGTTAAAACCATAACTTTTAGGATGAATTTCCATTTTTACCCTATTATCCGGTTATCAACCAGGATCAACCGTTTTTTTTTTTGAAAATAGAAAAAACATCATAAATGGTCCATGTGGTTTCCCCAGATCTGAAGTTTAGTCCCTATGGTTTGGAAACATCATAGATGGTCCATATGCTTTCAAAACTTTTGACAATTGGTCTTTATCCCTTACATCGTTAGAACCCAACCGTTAACTCTTATTTTATTAAAAAATATAAGGGAAAATTGGTTTTTTTTCACGTGTACCCTCTTCTTTAATGAGGGAAATGATTATGTTACTGTCTTCTTCACGTCAACTCCCAAACACTCTTCATCTCCCAAGATACAATGACTTCATCTTCATCAAACCATTCTCATCCAAGACACGAAATTGGTGTTTAGGGTTTACGCAGCAGTAAAGGACAATGGTTCTCTCAATATGGTGTTTGTGTGAAAAAAAATGCGTACTTGAAGGACTTGCAATCGAGATACGGTATGATTTTTCAAAAAATAATCAGTTTATGTTTTCCTTGAATGTATTCATGAAGATAAATCATCTTCTTTACCCTGTCTATTTTTGTGTTTGCAAAGGGATATGACAACTATTTCACGTTGAAGATACACCATAGTGGTATCTTCACCAAGTCACCTGGAAGGAAATACATCGACATTATTGTATCATACGTAGATGACGTTACTGATTTATTTTCAGTCCATGAACTCGATGACATGGTTCGAGAATTAGGATACAGAGGTGAACAGACCCTTTACTACCATTTTTGTATCCCCAAATTTCCCTTAG